TTATAAATAAATGTTTAATGCATTTAAAGTAATTATCAATTTTAAAATTAAGATTAGAAAAAAATATCAGTTTTACAATTAGAGTTCATTATGGAGTAAACTGTGAGGAAATAAGATTTTTCTGGGACAGAAAAATTCTAACTTAATTTTTAAGGAATTTTTATATTTCTAAAAATAATAAAACTGATAGAAAAAAGATATATCTAAAAAATATAAAGTTGATCTAGCTGAACATTCCAGTCATAAAAATAAGGATTTGATCACTTAGCATGCATAATCAGGTACAGAATTCTTTTCTCCCAATAAATTGTTACAATGAATAAATATATGTCAATGAATTTTTAGGCAGCTTCAAGTAACAACTCAGACATTATTATTTATCCATATGACACAAGATAATAAATAAAATGCTATTAAGCTGCAGCAATATTTACCCAACAGGTTAATAATTCCTTCATTGTATGCTGCAAACAGTCTAATGGCATCTTTAAAGAGGAGCATGAAGGCAGCATTTATTACCCCATTTGTAAGTTCATTGCTATTAACCTGGTGAAAAATTAGAAAAAAAGATTAGCTTATCTTATGTTTTAAATGACAATGACTTCCTTCAAATTTAAATACAGTGAATTCAAACATTTGGGTGTAGTAGAGAAAAAGACATTTATTTCTTGCAATCAGAGTTACAGCCAAATAAATAGTGCAAAAATTTTAACCAAAGAGTTCAGATTTATGTAAAAGGCACAAGCAAACAAATATCCTACAACATTCAATTAATTCAGAAATAAGTAATTGAGAACAAAAGTACCCTTTAACTCTTGCAATTCCTAGGCTATATCTCAAGTCTTTTAATTATAAGTTCATTTCAACATTAAATACTTCTAACTGCAAAATAAAGCCCATTTCTAGATAGAAGTTCACTTTGAGTCAAGAAGGATTTACTGAATATTTTGATATCAGAAAGTATTTGTTGGGCCGGCCCTGTGGCTTAGCGGTTAAGTGTGCGCGCTCTGCTACTGGCCGCCCGGGTTCGGATCCTGGGCGCGCACCAACTCACCGCTTCTCCGGCCATGCTGAGGCCGCATCCCACATACAGCAACTAGAAGGACATGCAACTATGACATACAACTATCTACTGGGGCTTTGGGGAAAAAAAAAGGAGGAGGATTGGCAACAGATGTTAGCTCAGAGCCGGTCTTCCTCAGTGAAAAAAAAAAAAAAAGAGGAGGATTAGCACGGATGTCAGCTCAGGGCTGATCTTCCTCAAAAAAAAAAAAAAAAAAGTATTTGTTAAATGGCTACTACAATCACCAAAGCACTGAGCTAAGCTAGATAGAAGATACGTTGTTTTTTTAAATATACCTTTTTTCAATATTACAAACTCACCTTCAAAGTGGTTATGATAATATTTCTACCTCATATCGTTACAAAGAGACTTGAATGAGTGTAAAAAGCGTAGCACAATATGTTACACATAAATTATCAATATTTATTATTATTACTGAATTATGCTGTAACAAAAAATAGCACTTATTTGTCTATCAAGAATACTAGAAATACCTTTAATTTTATCTCAAGGAATGAATCAACAGGATAAACCAAATAAACTTTAAGTTCTTCTTTAAATAAGACGAATATCTAGTACATGAAAAGTAACTTGTTAGGTATAAAAAAACATAAGCATAAAGTTGAATGGTAAGCAACAAATTGGTAAATATTTGCAGAATATCTAACAAGGTTGATTTCCATTATAGAGAGAATCCTAATAAAGCAAACGACAGACAATTCACAAAATAAAAAATACATATGGCTAATAATATACAAAAAGAAGTTCAACTTCACTTATCAGGTAAATTAAAATATCATAATCAAATTAAATTACTGGACTATCCTTTCTTGAGCACCAGACTAGTAGGTATCAAAATAATCAAAAGCAAGGTATTATTCAGTGCTGATAAGGATGAAGAAAAACAGGCACCTGTTGACAAGTGACTGGCTCAACTTTTCTTGAGTGTAAGTTAGCAATATTTTAAAAGTTTAAATGTTTATGTGTTTTGAACCACCAAATTCTTTTTCTAGGCATTAACCTTATAGAAATAGATTTATAAATGTGTACATACACACATTATCTCACATACACACACACACAAAGTATTTAGTGTCCTCCCCTCCTCTCTGTTTTTTTCCCATTTATTTTCTGGATTAAAAAAAAAACAGAAAAACTCTAAATATCTATCAATAGGAGGATCAGGTAAATTGTTATATACAATGAAGTACAATACAGACACTGAAAGGAATACGTAATTTTATAAAGGCACTCACAATATATTAAGGGAAAAAAAATTTTCTGGTTGGATCCTCTCTCTGTAAAAACCAAAACGAAGCTCAGTAGTTACATCAGTCCTCTATGTCTTCTAGACTAGAGGCCAGGAAACTTTTTTTGTAAAGGGCCCGATGGTGAGTATTTTCGACTTTGCAGGCCATATGGTCTCTGTCACAACTATTCAACTCTGTTATTACATCGTAAAAACAGTCACAGACAATATGTAAACCAATGAGCCTGGCTGTGTTCTAATACTACTATTGCAGACCCTGAATTTAAATTTCATATAATTTTCACCTGTCAAAAATATTTTTATAATTATTTTTAACCGTTTAAAAATGTAAAAATCATTCTTAGCTCACAAGCCATACAAGAACAGGTAGCAAGCCATAGCTGGATAACTCGCTCTAATCTATGAAGCACCTACAGGATTCATTTATTGAATGTTTATTGAACACTATCGATGTGTCACATATTATTAACAATGGGCACACAGCAAAGAAAAATCAGACCTGGTCCCCGCCCTCAAGAAGCTTCAAGACTACCAATTAATAGCACAAGTCAAAGGAAAATCAATTTCAACATGAAATTACCAGAGTTCCATTCACCAACTTGCACTTACAAGCTCTAAAATAAAATGTCTTAAGATAAATGACCTCAAAAAGAAGACGTGAAAATGCTAACACCTATCACATTACAAACAAATGACAAAGGTCATAACTTGGTTCAAGTAATGGTCATTAAAACAAAAATTCCAGGGAACACAATGCCCCTGGGTAATAGCTACATAACAGGCTGTCACAAGTGTATGTGAACTTCCCTTTATTTCTTAATAATTGCCATGCTTTGAGTCCTACAAGGCAGACAAAAGTGAAATATTAAGTTGGCTACTCATAAAAAAATCTTTATGCATTTTTTAAATCTAAAAACCATTATCAAAAGAAAGTAGATTTTCAGATCAATCCCTTCACCTCTCCATCACCTTCTTTAGCTTGTATATCCTACATTTATAGAGCTAGAGAACCGTCACCAAAGAAATCAGAGTAAACAATAATAGAAACGGAACAATAATAAAAATGGAAAGTATTCTGATTTGGGACCACATTTATAAAAAATCTTCACCCAAACAGGATATTAGTGTAAAAATATTAGAGTCTATGAAAACATGAGAATAAAATTCTAACCAATTATAATGATACAATTTTTTTAAATCTTAAATTATAAAAGCATTTGTGTAATCAACTTACATTAAAATCAAGAAGGGCATCCATTTGATTTTGAATAATTGGTACAGTTTTTAGGAGTTTTTCTGTGTTCATTGTTCTCATAACTCCATCAGCCCTGTTTTAAAAAAAAGAAACAACTGAGTTTGTTATTATATCTACATTTCGAACTCCCATCCAGTTCTCTATTTAAACAGAGAACAAGTTGTTGTGAACCATCATATATTTTTGAGGCATTATTGAATCTGAAACCTCAAGCAGAAATCATAAAGAAAAAACAAAAACAGGAAACACCATATGTCCAGTATCAAAGTACTCATTAAAAACAAAAAACAAAACAATGACATCAAGATGTAAAACATGAGACATAAAAATCAAAGCTTACATTATATAGCCAGGTTTATAGCGCACTTTTCATATGAGGAGATCATCTGATCCTCATATTACTCATGTATGTGAAGGGCAGTTTCACAGATCTTTTGTTTTTAATTACAAATTTTAAAAAAATCATTTGCCTCAAATCACTAACAATTAGGACATGATGGAACCAGTGGTTGAACTTAAGTCTTGGTGAGCACTGCTTTATTTAAGGTATTTTATTCATGACTCAAACAGCAATGGCTTGTAATACAGAAAATTGTAACTAAAATTATTTTATTATAAAATAAAGGATAATTTTACCAAGACATTCTAATCTGGCCATTAAAATAAGTGATACCTAAGAGGAATGTTCTAATAAAATATTCTGTTAAATATTTCCAAAAAGATTTCTTTAGACATTCATAAAGATAGAGAAATGTTAGCAGTACCAAATAAACTGGAATTATACAAAACTGGTACCAAAAACACTACAGTAAGAGGTTCTGGGGCTAAGGTACACAACTAACACTAAGTGCTTATTATATATCGGGCTCCATATTAAGGGCCTGATGTATGTTTTTCAAATCCTCACAAAAATCCTATAGATAGTCTTCTCCCATTTTATAGATGATGAAATTTTAGGTTCAGTGAGGTTATATAACTAAGGTCAGAGAACTAATCAGTGGTAGGGTCATTATGTAAACCCAGGTTTATTATGATTTCAAAATAGTGCTTTTCATAATCTTTTGGCAGAGTAACAAGGCACTTTCAAAAAGTGTGTAGGCTTTCTCTAATTTACAAATGACCCATACTTATAAACAGCTGATCTACCCTGAGCTACCCCTTCAACCACAACCCCAGATGCCACAAAAACAATTAAGCTATGAAAAGCAACAATAGTGATCCGCATGACAGAGTTAAAAGAACAAATACTGGACTGCCTTAGGTAGACAGCTATTGACCAGATGTGTAAACCCCTGGACGCCTGTTTCCTCTCAAGTACTAAACTACATTGATTGGTACTAGCTGCTGAAGTTTGGGATAAGGACGCTACTACTTCTTCGAAACTCTTTCTTAATTCTCATACACATCACACTCTGTCCTTTTATCAGTCATCATTAGTTCCCTTTTAGTTCTCCCTCCTTCTCCCTGCTGAGGTCACTTTTTGACCTCCTGGTCACTTCCCCTCCATCACAGAAAGACTTGAATATTGGCTCACTTTTTCTTGGTTAACTTTAACATCTACCTGGACAACCAATCCAACATCTTGATCTTAAAGTCCCTTGACCACAGCCCCTATTCCCATGGTCAGATACTGACCCTACTGCCCTCAGAAACCACATTAACCACTCTTCCCCAGTGCCATGAAAAAAAGACAAAATTCAGACACCTTATCCTATGACAATAACGTTTTAACCTTCCAGCTGCCTTGGTCAAGTATCTCCATGGCAAAAACTATTTGACTTCATCATAAACTTCACATTGATCCCTTCTCATTTTTACTTCATCTAGCTTAGAATTCCACAGATCATTATTACAATCACTCCCTTGCAAATACCCTTAACTCTCTCGCATCTCTCTTCTTCCCTTGCAGTCACCTGGCAAATTCACAATCCTGGGTGAGCAAACATTTACCTCCTCCATGCCTGTACACATGCAGCTGAGCACTGGTAAAGAAAGCCACACAACTGAGCAAACTGGTAAAACTATAACCTCCAACAGGGACTCAGCATTGCCAGCAATCTTCTTAGCCTTCTCTAGTGAATTCCTCTCCTAAGTACTTTCAAATCTCCTTCTCCCACCCTTCCTTCCCTGCCTCCCCACACACAAACTCTCAGCTCTTAACTCCCTAAATATTTCATTTAGAAATAGAAAATGACAAAAAGAGATTAGGTATCTCACCACCAAAACTACATCTATCTAGTCTGCTCCTGTTACAATGGAGGAAGTCTATCCCTTTCTATCAAATGTAAATACCACTCACACAGGTCCTCTGGATCCCACTCCATCACAATCCTTTGGTTGTCCTCTTTTTCTTTAACACAGCACTGTCTAACAGAACTATTTGCAATGGTGGAAATGTTCCATATCTGCACCATTCAATATGGTAGCCACGAGACACATGTGGCTACTGAGCATCTGAAATGTGGGTGATGCAACTGAGAAAATGAATTTTTATTTTATTTCACTTAAATCAATTTAAATTTAAATTGCCACACATGGCAAGTAGCTATCACATTGGACAGTGCAGCACATTAATCTCTTCTTTTATACTAGATCATTCCCATGAACATACAAACAAAGTCTCTAGGATCACCATTCTTTAAACACCACCCACCTCCCATACACACAGTCTCTCTCCACTAATCTCTTATTCCAATTCAGCTACCACTTGCCTTGCAGAGCCAAGCATACTTCTCAAAAGAGTTGCCACTTCCTCGCTTTTCATTCATTATTCAATACATTCCAATATGAGCTCCACTCCTACCACCTCAGCTAAACTTCTCTAGTTTAGGTCATCCAGAAATTCCATGTTGCTTCTCCAGTGGGTACTTGTCTAATATTATCTGCCTAGACTTCTCAGCATCATTCAAAAGTTTCCCCCACTCTTGTAATACTCTACTCTCTTAGCATCCCCTATACCTCTCTTTCCTTGTTTTCTTCCTACCTCACTATCACTTTCTTAGTCTCTTTTGCTGGCTCCTGGTCCTCTACCCATACGCTAAAATAGATGTTGTGTATCTCAAGGTGTTTCCGAACCCTCTTCTCTCATTCTATACTTAAACTCCCCAGGTGATCAGTCATTCCCAAGGCATAAATTACCAAAATGCCATTGACATATTTATATTCCTAGACTACAACTCTCAAGTTTCAAGTTAATATGTCCAACTGCCTATTTGATATCTCAACTTGTACAAATCACAGGCATCTCAAAACTAGTATTTCCAAAACTAAATCCGTAATTTTTTAACCACTGCATCCTACCCTACACCCCACCCCCAAAAAATCTTCCCAATAAAAGGTGCTATCCCTCCAGTGACTGACATCAGAAACTGTGGGCACATTTTTGATTCCTCCCTCTCTCCCTAGCCTCCACATCATTTATTCCCAGAAAACTTTAAATTTCTCAATTAAGAAAAATCTTGGGGGCCAGCCCCACGGCCTAGTGGTTAAGTTTGGTGCACTCTGCTTCGGTGGCCTGGGTTCAATTACTGGGTGTGGACCTACACCACTCGTCAGCGGCCATGCTGTGGCGGCGACCCACACACAAAATAGAGGAAGATTGGCAACAGATGTTAGCTCTGGGCAAATCTTAGTCAGCAAAAAAAAAAAGAGAAAAATCTTAACAGTTACCATATACTTTATCTAAAACTTTGAAAAACTCAATTTACAAACACAAATGCTTGAATATGATTCAAACCAAATGCATAACAATTCATATTCCATGTAGAATACAAGTTTTTATAAATTCTTAAATAGATTATAATAATTAAATTCAGATACTTGCTTCCCAAGTGTAAATGCAATGGATTAAAGGCTGATCATCCATGTCCTTATTCACAGACAATACCTGGGTTATTCTCTCTTTTGCTTGTTATTGTAACAGTGTCTTGTCACTTTGAACTGTACCAATTTAGAATTGAAGATAATTCAGCATAAGTTAATACTATCAAAATACAGAATGCTAAACAAAAAGAAAATGAAGGGACCAGTGTTTAACAACCAACTGTAAAAATAAATGTACAGGCAATTTATTGGATCCATTTTTCATAGAATCACTTAATGTACTGCCTACAAACTCATCTAGTCATTTTTTCAAAAACTATTAAACATCTACTATGTTTAGACACTGTGGAAAGTCCTGAAGATATGAATATGAGTAAGAGTATATTGTCCTCATGGATGTGACAGCACCATATAAAATCCAACAAGAGAAATAAGGCTTTCTCAAAGAAATGATGTCTGAGTGAATTCTTGAAGAATGACTAACTATTTGCCAAAATAAAAAAAAGGGGCTTTAGAAAAGACGTAAGTATATGAGTGAAAGTAATTTAACCCTACTGGGTAATAATTCACTCTGATTTTTGAATATCCTGTATTTCTATTAAAAATTATAATTGGTGTCCACCTCGCTTTTTTAATTATACCAAGATATATTCCAAATGAATCAAAGATTTAAATATATAATACCAAATCCATAAATATATCCAATGAAAAAATGAATAGGAAATTGATCATCTTTGAGTAGAAAAGCTCAGAGTTTGCTTAAAAGACAAAAGCCAAAAAAAAAAAAAAAAAAAGATAATTTTGATCACATAAGATTTTAAAACCCATAACAATGCTTAAAAAAAAACAGGAAAAAATATTTGTAACCCATGACAATTTATTTTCCTCATACACAAAAGTTTATTGTTAGAGTGTTTGTCATGTGTTAAGCATAACATACAATATTTCATTTAATTCTCACAGCAATCCTAATACATAAGTGCTATTAACATCACCATTTTACATTTTACAGATAAAATAACTCAGAGCTTAAGTTGAGGTTTCCCAGTTGTGCCAAAGCATACTACTATGGTACAAATGGGTTTACATATGCCAACACATTAATCCCTAACACTTCAGCCTCAAGCAGTCTTCTCCATTTAATCACTGTCCCGGTACAAATAGTATCAGTTTGTGTGCCTCAATGTGAAAAAAGTTAGCAAGCTGATGGATATGTAATAAAAGAACCTTGTTCTTAGGAAATATGCACTGAAGTATTAAGGGATATAAACTATAAAAAGGCATGAGGTATGTAATCTACTCTCAAATGGTTCAGAAAAAAAGTATACACACAGAATAATTAAGCAAATGTGATAAAATGTTAAAAATTGTTGAATCTGAGTAAAGCATATAGGACTTATCTGTATTATTCTTGCAGCATTTCTGGAGGTGAAATTACTTCAAAATAAAATTATTTTTATTTATTTATTTACTTATTTTGTGAGGAAGATCAGCCCTGTGCTAACATCTGCCAATCCTCCTCTTTTTTGCTGAGGAAGACTGGCCCTGGGCTAACATCCGTGCCCATCTTCCTCCACTTTATATGGGACGCCGCCACAGCACGGCTTGCCAAATGGTGCGTCGGTGCACGCCCGGTATCCGAAGCAGCGAACCCCGGGCCAGCGCAGCGCAGCGTGTGCACTTAACCGCTTGTGCCACCGGGCCCGGCCCTAAGCTTATTTTTAAAAAGTCAGCAAGCTAGCTGAAGTATCTTACTAAAGTCCTTCATCTAACTAGAATGAAGCTAGAATTTATCTTACTAAACCTAGATTTATTTGACTAAACCGCCTGTGAGCTCTTAACACTATTCAACAGAATAGGAAAGAATAAAAAAGCCAATAGAGAACTGGGCAAAGGACACTGAAAGGCAATTAACAAAGCACGAATGGCATTTTAAAAAAGGAAGAGAGAGAAAGGTTCAATGTCACCATCTACTGAATTATTCAGTCAACTGATACAAAATAAAATGAATCTAAAGAGATACATTTTCATGAGGATGGAAGAATACAGTGCAAGAGGTATTTATAACTGTATTTAATTCAATAATTTAGTACAATTTTTATAAAGGGTAATATGGTGTTTTCTATTAAAATGTTAAATGTATATACAACCTTTGACCAGTCAATTCTAAGAATTTATTCTACAGGAAACTTCACTTAAGAATGCAACCACATGTAAAAGGATGGTCAATGCATTGCTTTTATAAGATAAAAAACGGGAATAAATCAAATGTACATCTAGAACATAATTCTAAGCCATTCAAAAGAATGAGATGGATCTATGTGTACAGACATTGAAAATGTCTAAGAAATATAGTAGGGGAGAAACACAATCTTTAAATAATGTGATCCAACTTCTATGTAATTTTCTATGTGCCTTCATATACATATTTATTTCTATTTACACACAAAAAATAGATTAAATACACGAAAAATGTTAACATTTCCTAAAAGTTAGGCTGCTACGTTGTCTGAATTTTTTTAAATTTTATTACTTTTATAAACATAAAAAATTATTTCCCTAATAAATAAAACTTTACTATTTACTACACTTTTTCTCCAAAAGTTAAACAGTTTACTGAGCTTTTGCCATGATATAATAAATTTTAATTGCCATCAGGCCCTGAGATTATAGCCTATGTCCTATATTTTATCTTTAATTTGATATATATGTATATATATGTATCTTGTGTGTTTAAAATGTCAATTTTCTGCTGCTTCTTGGTTCCACTCAATTATGGCTCTTCCTTGATTCACTTTCCTTTTCCTTAGCATCAAATGCGAGGAATTTCCTTTAACTCAATACTAATTATATGGTGCATAATCAAGGACTGTTCTCACCCAAGTAATAGAAGTTTGCTCTATTAAATACAGAAATGCAGCAACTCCCCTCAATCTCAAGCCTGGCCCTTCAGGTTAGAAAAAAAATTTTCTATTTTTAAAATCTATCAATCTGAAATCTACAAATATCTTGAAGATCAGTTTTACTGAACACACTTTACGGTGAAGAATTAATATAATCCAACTGGAAAATGGTTTATTGGACAGGATACTGAGGTTAAGAATCAGACTTCTAAGATGAATGTTTCTACCGTAATCTTCTACAAAGTACCTAAATATATAAAACAAAATCTGTGGAATTTAGTTTTCATAAGTTCTAAACTAATCACTTCCCGATTAATTTGGAATAGTGACATAGAACATTTTAAATTCAGCTTTAAAATTTCTTGATTAACTAAGAGGTTACACTTCTACATTTGTATTAAATTTTCCATTTCAGTCTATTAACTTAACATTTCAAGAGAACAATTTAAAGGAACATATTAATTGCTTAGATCTTTGGAATCTTTGGGCAGCAAGGAAACTCAGAGAGACAGTCACCAGAATATTTCTGCAGAAGCCAGATTCCCTCAGGGCAGGCCTTCATAGCTACAAGGGTCATCAGTGCCCCTTAAGAATGTCCTTACTAGCTTTTTCCCGAGGTCTCATCATATATCCTAAGAAAATCCATACACCAGGCTTTATCAGGTATAGAAGTACTGATTGTATCATTCATGTGATTAGTTCTTACGACAAGAAGACTGTTACAGTCATGCTTTGCATGACAATGTTTCAGTCAATGACAGACCGCACATATGACGGTGGTCCCATAAGATTAAGTACCATATAGCCTAGATATGTGGCAGGCTATACCATCCAGGTTTGCGTAAGTACACTCTATGATGTTCACACAATGACAAAATAGCCAAACGATGTATTTCTTATAATGTATTCCTGTGGTTAAGTGACGCATAAGTAGCACAGCAAAAAATAAATTCATCATCTGCAACCAAGATTAACAAGCACCTTAAATACCTAACAGCACTGAAAGACACTGAAGAAGATTAATAGAAAGACACCCCATGTTAATGGATTGGAAACCATGTGTTAATACTGCCAATACTTCCCAAACTGATCTACAGATTCAATGCAATCCCTATTAAAATCCCAGCTGCCTTTTCTGCAGAAATTGATAAGCTGATCCTAAAATTCATATGGAAATACAAGGGACCCAGAACAGCCAAAATAATCTTGAAAAATAAGAGAGTTGGAGAACTCACACTTCTCAATTTCAAAACTTACCACAAAGCAACAGTAATTGAGACAGTGTGGGACCGCCATGAGGACAGACATAGATCAACAGAACAGAACTGACAGTCCAGAAATAAACCTTTACATTTATGGTCAATTCATTTTTAACAAGGGTGCCATGACCATTCAATCGGGAAAGAAGAGTCTTTTCAACAAATGGTGCTGGGACAACTGGATAACCACACACAAAAGAATGAATTTGGACCCATACCTAATACCATATACAAAAATTAATTCAAAATGGATCAAAAACCTAAATGTAAGAGCTAAAACTACAAATCTCTTAGAAAAAATGTAGGAGTAAATCTTTTTGACATTGGATTAACTAATGTTTGCTTAGATATGATGCCAAAAGTGCAAGCAAGCAAAGAAAAAAACAGATAAACTGAACTTCATCAAAATTAAAAACATTTGTTCTTCAAAGAATACCACCATAAAGATAAGCCACAGCAGGAAGGAAAATATTTGTAGATCATGTATATGATAAGGGACTGGTGTCCAAAATATATAAAAAACACTCCTGCAAGTCAACAATCAAAAGACAACGCAATTAAAAAGCAAGGAAAGGGGACTGGCCCCATGGACCTAGTGGTTAAGTTCCGCACTCTCCGCATCAGCAGCCCAAGTTTAGTTCCCAGGTGCAGACCTACACCACTTGTCGGCGGTGATGAGGTGGCAGTTACCCACATACAAAATAGAGGAAGACTGGCACAGATGTCAGCTCATGGGCGAATCTTCCTCAGCAAAAAAACCCAAAAAAACAAAAAACAACCAAAGGATTTGAACAGATATTCTCCCAAAGAAAATATACAAGTGGTCCATAAGCACACAAAAAGACACTCAACATTATTAGCCATCAGGGAAATGCAAACCACAATCATAATGATATACCACTTCATACCTACTAGATGGCTATAATCAAAAAAACAGAGGGGCAAACCCGGTGGCATAGCAGTTGAGTTTGCGCACTCAGCTTTGGTGGCCCAGGGTTCACAGGTTCAGATCCTGGGTGTGAACCAACGCACCACTTGTCAAGCCATGCTGTGGCAGTGTACCATATAAAGTGGAGGAAGATGGGCACGGAAGTTAGCCCAGGGCCAATCTTCCTTAGCAAAAAGAGGAGGAATGGCAATAGATGCTAGCTCAGGGCTAATCTTCACACACACCAAAAAAACCCAGAAAATAACAAGTATGGACAAGAATGTGGAGAAATTGGAATCCGCATACATTGCTGGTGAGAATGTAAAATGGTTCAACCGCTTTGAAAAATGGTTTGACAGTTCCTCAAAAAGCTAAACATTATGAGTTACCATATTACTCAGCAATTCTACTCCTAGGTACGTACCCAAGCGAACTGAAAAGATAATTCACACAAAAACTTATACACTAATGCTCATAGCAGCATTATTCCTAATAGCCAAAAAGTAGAAACCAGTCAAATGTCCATCAGCTGATGAATAAACAAAATGTAGTATGATCCACAGAGGAGAATATTATTCAGCCATAAAAAGAAATGAAGTACTGATATACGCTACAACAAGAATGCCACAACTTGAATACAATACGCTAAGTGAAAGAAGCCAGACACAAAAGGGCATATACTGTATAATTCCATTTATATGAAATGTCCAGAATAGGCAAACTCATAGAGATAGAAAGTAGACTTGTGGTTGCCAGGGTCTGGACGAAGAAGAAAATGGGAAGTGATTGCTAACAGGTTTGGAGTTTCTTTCTGGAATAACGAAATGTTTTAGGATTAAATAGTAGTGATGTTGCACAACTTTGTTAATACACTAAAATCACTGAACTGTACACTTTAAAAGGGTAAGTTTTATGTTGTGTGAACTCCATCTCAATAAAGCTGTTATAAAATTTTTAAAAACTTTAAAAAATCCTAGTGCAAAAAGTATCTGATAGGGCCGGCCCCGTGGCTTAGTGGTTAGGTGCGTGCGCTCCGCTGCTGGCGGCCCGGGTTCGGATCCCGGGTGCGCACCGACACACCACTTGTCGGGCCATGCTGAGGCTGCGTCCCACATACAGCAACTAGAAGGATGTGCAACTACGACGTACAACTATCCACTGGGGCTTTGGGGGAAAAAATAAATAAATAAAATTATATAAAAAAAAAAGTATCTGATGTACTTCTTCGAAGAAAAATGAAGTTCACCTTTTAAAACTGGCCTGAAATTCCGTAATTCATAATCTAATAATTTCTGTGGTTTACATTTTAAAATATGCACATCCATTAGATGTCGAGAAAAAACAAAGAAAGCTTAACTCACCCTCTTTTCACTTTTGTGAAATCAAATGCAACTTGTCTGTATGAAACTGCTTTTTCATTTAGATATCTACTATACCGCCTAATAAATGTAGACATGTCATATCCTGCAAGAAAAGAAATAGAAAGTTTTCATAAATTATTAAAATCCCAATTTGTTTAGAAAACCAACTCATTTCATCCAATGGCCATAACGTCTTTGATATCCCAACTTGATTTAGTGATGTAAATTAACTGACTAATGAATAATATCACATTAAAATCTCTAAGACTTCACATTTTTTAAGTCACATATACCATGTGTGGCTTTGAAAAACCTTCCCCCTTAGAATTTCACCTAAATTAATAATTATATTTTACTTCTGATCCACATTCCTATCTTTTATTTATCAGGAACTGGAAAAACATGTTCTCTTACACTACTTAATAACCTCATAACTCAAATTTAACATCCCTGGGAACAACTGCACACCTCAAACCATTAAGTAATTTTATAATTTTCATATTTATGAAATCTTTAATTGTACATTATCTAGAACAACCATAACTTATATGTGCCAACCTTATAAAAAGTACAGAAAATTATTTCATGGTACAATGAAAGAAAGGGCAATATATAAGTTTAAGACAAAACAAAAAACAATTACATGCGGGTTTTCAATAAAACTCTCTAAGTGAATACCTAAATCATTGCAAGATTTTGTTTTATTATAATCATGAGACTGGAAAACTTCAGCAACATAAAATCTAATCAATGTTATACAACAAAAAACAAAAAAACTTGTATTTTAGTTATTGCCTGGCTCAAGGAAGTCTGTAAATTTTTGCTTCTCATTGAAAAGCAGGTCCATTTTATCTTGGCTCATTTTTTCTAACAAATTTAACCTCACTTGATGATCTCCACTAATTTAAAAAGAGAACAGTAAAACAACCAAAAGAAAGGGAAGGGAATAGATTTAATGTCATCACCAATTCACTTATTTAGCAAATATTTCTTGAGTGCCTACTAAGTGCCATTGGAGAAAAATGAGTGAACAAAATAGAAAAAAAATCACTGCCCTCATATATTCTCATAGCTACTAGCGTATTTTATAAGGTGTTACATACTCCCACTCCTCAGCTCTTTAATTCATACAGTTCCCTCTAATCGACTCTACTCCATCCTCTCTGATGGGGGAAATACCTCTCATCCTTCAAGGCTCAATCTCTGAAACTCCCTAAACTCTTTGTGCTCCCATATTATTCTCACTTCAAGTACAGCTTATAGCTATTATATACAATGTCTATCTAACTCACTAGACTAGAAAGTTATTTATATTTACATACACCCAGTATAATAGTACATATTTAATAAAATATACCAAACTCTACCCAACAAAATACATCAGCAATCAAAATTACTTTTCAAAAACACCATTGAATTATATGCTTTTAAGTACTGTTTCAGTCTTATCTTTATAATCTCTTTAGCATATGAGCTTTAAATAAAAGGCCTAAAAACTGTTCTCTACACAAAAGAAATGAACCTTATAATTAGAAGTGCTTAATTTACATCTTAAAGTGGAAAATCAGTAGCTAATAAGACAAAAAAAACCTCAGACACACGCATCTACTCTGTTCTGGAGTAGCAGTTTGCATGCTGTTTTCCACAGACTCTTAGTTCAAATCAACTGAATAAGCGGGAAGGCAGAAATAAAAAGATTGAGCAGGCAGAGTTTCTTTCATGTCACCCAAAACAGAGTAGCTCCAGTTTTATCTGTTATATTTATCTAGCTTCTATTTAAGATTTTATTTGAAAAAGGGATTCCATGGCTTAATTTTCTTTTCTTCAATACTAGAGCACTATATCTCTCATTAAAGTAAAATCAATCTTGTAACATTCGGTCCTATGTATAGATTACTGGTCTTCCAAAATCTCTGGAAGATAGGGAATTCAATTCATTCTAATTAATACTTCTATCCGCCAAAAGTAAGTATTGAACTGGACAGGCCCTAGCCCAAACACAGCTAATCATTAAATTTCACTGATCTTATTTCCACAAGAGCCATAATTTAGGCCCTCATTAACTCACCACTGGATGACCAGAAATTGACCAGAACAGTTCCAATGTCTTCCAGACTTTATCCACCCTAATCCAACCTGCACTGAGGTTTCTTTATAAGCATCTTTACATGATGCTTTCTTTATAACACACACTCCTTCTCCCCTCCTCCCTCAAACCAAAAAACTTTGATGGCTTCTCAGTGTATTATAAAATTCCAACTCTATCAAAATCTTCTGTGCCCGATTTTGGCCCCAAGCAGCTTCCTGAGGGCTATCTGACACTACATGTTCTCCAATACATCATCCATACATTCTATTCACACTCATTTCCTCTACAAATCTTAAATACCCTACGTTCTTTCATATCCGTGTATATCTATGTACCTTCGCTTAAGCCAACTCATGCCCTCATCCATCTTTTAAAGCCCAGCACAATTCTCACAATTCTCTCTAAAGCCCACACCTTCTCTAAAGATATCTCCCAGATTGAGTCCTTCTATTGAATTAAGCCTTACTTGAATTCCCAAGTCGTTTGGTACGTCTTTTATAAAGTTCTTCCTAGTGGTGAGATTCTCTAATGCTAATGGTCTAGTTCTGGAACTAAGTACAACACATTCCATTAAGACAGAATATGCATGGAGGGCTACAACAGCAGATTATGGCAATTTTAAAGTAAAATAAATAAAATAACAGATGTGAGTATCAATAAGCAATTCATCTGAATAACACACTATACTTCCCTTTGCTACTAAAATGAATGATATTCCCAATTACATTTCTTAGAATAAAGCATAAAACAATAACAACAATAATAACAATGAAAGAGCATACTTAAATAGTGTCTTCTGTGTGCCAGGCATTGTTCTAAGCACTTGACATTTACTAACTAGGTTAAGCCTCATGACAACCCTATAGGGCAGGTGCTATCATTATTTCTGATTTTACAGATGCAGAGAGGTAAAGTTGCTCAAGTTCATGCAGCTGGTAAGTAGTAGAGATGGGATTCAAACCCAGGCAGTCCAGTTCCATCTATGCTCTCAAACCACTACCCTATACTGCTTCTCAAAGAGCTCTGAGTGTCGAACAGTTAAGTCAATCTTAATCTTCATATTAAAAGATAGTTTCTTCTTCCCTATAATCTTCACTAAAATATGAGGTTTCTCCACAGCACTTATTCTGAAAGACAGAGGTCAACCCAGCAGTAATCATCACAGGGGGTTGCTCTCGATTTTCTATAAGGAATAAGTTGTCTTTTACCTTGCAATCCGCTTTTATCCAAAAAATTGCTTAAGTTAAACAACGTGTTTCTTGAAGCCAAATACTGAATAAAACGCTGGAAAACAAACAAAAGACTATGTTAAGGTATTGCCATCTAACAAAATCTATTTTGAGAATTAGGAGGAAAAGTTGTGGTTAACACACTCCACTAAGCTTACCTAGTTTAAATTTCTCATCCTCAGTCCTCCAATTAACTAGTTACCAAACCTAAAAACATAATATATATTTTTCACTAGCATACAGGAATTTATTGAAGACTAATGTGTACATGTATGGTATTAAAGTCAAAATAAAAGGAAACAGGCACTTTTAAACTAGAACCTATAATTCTGCCTTTATTGTAGCATATTAGGGCTACAGCTAATCATACTCAGGTGGCATCTTTAAACAGTTACCTGGCGATCCAAATTTTTATGACACTTTTTTTAAAAACAAAATACTTGTAATCATACAAGAGAACAATATTATAGACATCCTCTTACCCACTGTCCAGATTAAACACATTACCATATTCACTTTAGATCTTCTTATAGAATCAAAACATTATAGACTATTGAAGACACACACCTTAAATCTCATTCCCCTCCCTCCCTCTTCAAAGGCAATCACTTT